TGGGCCCCGAACCCATCCAGCCGGGCCCCCAAAGGGTGCGGAGAGGATGGGGCCCTGAGCGCCTGCGGGTCCTGGAACTCAGGTGGAAAACACTGCAGTCGCGTCCGCTTGGACACTCCCTCCTCCAGTGGTTGCGTTGGGATTTCAGACAGACATTTTCAGACCGACAGGGGGTAGCTGTCCCTCTACGTTATGTCCCAGACACTGCACGGGGCGCCCTCAGGCCGAGTTACTGGCTGGTGCGTCTGCTTGTGTGTTTGCTAGCGCTGCGGGGAGGGAGAGGCGCTTCCTGCTCAGTGGCCGCGGCTCGGAGATCGGGGCTGCACCGGGGACAGTGCTTGCCCTGCGCCGCTTCCCATAACCACTGGCTACCGGCTGGCGTGGAGGCCCGTCCCGCGGTCCTGGCCGTCCCGCCCGCTGGCACATCTGTGCGGCCGCTGTGCATCCTCCATCCGCCTGGGATCCCTTCCCACCCGCTTCCTCCGGTAGCTTTTACCGGTTTTGCAAGACAGGGAGCCCTGGAGCTTTCTGTGCGGAGCTAGAAGGTGCTGGTCACCCGGTAACTAGGTGGCTGGCTGGTCACCGAGGCCCCTGAAGCTGTGTTTTCCCAGCTCCATGGATCCCTGGGGCATTTCGCCTTTGGCCTGCTCAGCTCGCAGTGGGCGCTCCACGCCCGGGGCGTGACTCGAGGGCGCTTGGAGGGCTGTTGTTGGAGTGAATCTCACCTGCAGCATTGCCTTTACTGTCTGATGAACCGGCCCCTTTAACAATTCCTCGTAGGATGGGCAACAGCACGTCGTCCACTTGGGGGAAGCCGGCAGCTGCTCCCGTGAATCAGATCCAGGTGAGTGGTGTGGGGGCGGGGCCGGGGTGCTGTGCACAGCCAGGTCCAGGGAGTGCCCTTAGGACACTGGTCTGCAGGTTCTCCCTCGCTGGCAGCTGAGAGACAGTCCTGTTTCTCCTTCCCTGTCCACCACTGACCACGGCCACATCCATCACGGTTCTGCCTTCATGCCTTTGGCTGAAACAGTATTCACGCACAGCCGTAGATGGAACGCAATGGCAGAACCTACTGTGAGGGATCTGCCTCCTAAAATCAGGAGAGTCATAGCTGTTCAGCAAGCACGGGCTTG